CCAAGCCTGTTCTGCTCGCGGTCGCTTCCTGAAACGCGGCCGCAGCTCAGCGTCGACGCAGCTCATCTGTGCAAACGCGTGACGCTCCCGCAGACCCCGTCGAGTCCCGTGGGGCTGGCGGGGAGCTGTCCACAGGCCCGCTGGGGACTCGTCGTCACCTTCAGCATGGCCTCTGAGGGCTCGGGCCGGCTGCCACCGCCTCGGCCTGGCCTTCGGGCCCCCGTGCCGGCGCGCTCTGCCAGCCCTGAATCTGCGGGGCTCAGCTGGGACGTGGCTGAGGGACCGCTGGGGGACGGGCAGGCCCGGGCCGCGTCACCCTTCTTCAAGGTCAAGTGAGGCAAAGCCTTGGCTGTGGGGCTCCGGGGCCAGCGTGTCCGCAGGCCCGTGGGGACACAGTCCCCGGGCCCCGGCTCACGCCTCGACCGGTCTGGACAGGTGCAGCGGGAGGCGGGAGGGCCCCCACGAGGGGGTTCATTTAGGCGGGAAGAGAAGAAAATACTGGCTCCCGCATGGTCGCCGGCCCGGCAACTGGGGGGACGGGGTCGGCGTCTTCTGGGTAGTTGACCCGTCCTCGTTTGCCTCCACTCCCTCGTGGTTGATTTATTAAAGGTGTGTCAGCACCAGCTCAGATGAGGAGCCGGCCGCCTCCTCTCTGCTGCCGGCCGGCCGCGCCAATAATTCATTTTTTAGCTCATTAGCTAACGGAGGCTGAGAGCAGCAGGCCCGGGGGGACTGGGATGAGGCGAGGTGATCTACGGCCGCGCTGCTCTGGGACTGGCCTCCGCGGGGAGGAGCCAAGGCCCGGCCAGGGACAGGGACCCGGCGTGCAAGGGGCACAGAGCAGCGGCTGGGGGGGCGGGGCGGGGGGCCCTTCTGTCACGTGCTCCCCGGACGCCGGACGAGAAGGGCGAGCCCCTGCCTGTCGGGCCCGGCGTGCCGGCTGCCCGCACAGCACGCGGCTGGGCCTCGGGGGGCGTGGGGCGAGCCCCGAGCCAGGGCTGTCTGTGGCCAGGCCCCTCCCGGCCTGGAGGTGCGCGGGCCGCTGTCCTGGGGGCTCTGTGTCCGCTGAGGCCGGCAGTGGGGGGGGAGGGACCCCGGGCACAGCAGCCCCTCCCGTCTCCCCGCTGCCTCCCGCTGTGCATTTCAGGGGCTCCTCCTGCTCCGCCCCCCACTCTGTCTCTGGGGAGTCCTCTCACCCCTGCACCTCTGGCCTGCACCCCAGCTCTTGTGTGCATAAGTGAATCATTTTTTGGTTTTTTGGGTTTTGAACATTTAAACCCGCTGACCGCTCGGAGGTGCATGGGCCCCGTGGATTCAGGGAGCTGCTTGTGGGCTCACCCGGCCCTGACCGCTGGAGGAGTCAGAGGCCTGGCTGGCCCATGTTCAGCAGCGGGGGCGGGGGACACTGGAGAGCAGACCGGGTGGCTGCAGCTGGGCCCTGGATCCGGCCTTCAGCCGGGGGCTTGGCAGCGAGCATTGGAGTCAGCCAGGACTGACCAAACGCTTCGGGTTTTAGTGTCTCCCCAAAAACGAGTTAGCATATTGGAACTCGAAAGCCGGGAGTGAAGCCTCCGCCGTGTCCTTTCCTGTGACTCTCGCCTGGGGCCACCTCACGCAGGTGTGCCGACACAGGTGTGCCCACAGAGGTATGCCGATGCAGGTGTGCCTTATGCATGTGTGCCGATACAGGTGTGCCTCACGCAGGTACACTGACGCAGGTGTGCCCATGCAGGTGTGCCTCAACCAGGTACACCGACGCAGGTGTGCCTCAACCAGGTACACCGACGCAGGTGTGCCTGTGCAGGTGTGCCTCAACCAGGTACACCAACGCAGGTGTGCCTATGCAGGTGTGCGACATAGGTGTGCCCACGCAGGTGTGCCCACGCAGGTGTGCCCCGTGCAGGTGTGCTTCATACAGGTGTGCCCGTACAGGTGTGCCTCACACAGGTGTACCCATGCAGGTGTGCCCCATGCAGGTGTGCCTCATGCAGGTGTGCCTCATGCAGGTGTGTCCGTGCAGGTGTGCCCCGTGCAGGTGTGCCCCATGCAGGTGTGCCAGTGCAGGTGTGTCCATGCAGGTGTGCCCCGTGCAGGTGTGCCGACGCAGGTGTGTCCATGCAGGTGTGCCCCACGCAGGTGTGCCCCATGTAGGTGTGCCAATGCAGGTGTGCCCTGTGCAGGTGTGCCTCGCGCAGGTGTGCCGACGCAGGTGTGCGGGCAGCCCAGGCTGGCGTGCAGGCGGCTGATGTGGTGGGAGTGGGGCTGGCTGCAGGCATGTTTGTCCTGGAAGTCTCTGCAGGAAGGGGTCAGGGGTCACTCGGGGGTCACTCGCATGTACCAGGAAGTGAAGCAAAACTAATCCAGATTTACTCCTGGGAGAATTTGTTTGCCTAAGTATTTAAAAACAGATTAGGGCGAACCTGACACTGGAGCACAAGCAGCAGAGTAAACACGGTGGACGGTGTAAACAAGGCCTTTTTGCTGCAGTCGGAAGGAAAATGTCACGGGGGATGAGTTTCCTTTCCCGAGGGCGGGGCCCTGCTGCCCCCTCCGGGGTCTGCGGCTCTCGCCCCGCCGCTCCGGGAGAGAAGCAGGCAGCGGGCTGGATCGGGCGTCTGAGGCTGCCGGGTGGCCACCCCCTTCCGTCTGTGGGCTTTCCTCTGGGCACCCTCAGGGAAGGGCGCCTGCCTGGCCTGCCGAGCCCGCCCCGACCCCCGTCCCG